CATTTGGGTTCTCTTCAAACTTGCCTTCAGTGGATCCATTACAGAAAACTTGACAGAAAGTTTGCCTCCTACGACTTTGTCAATGAGACCTCACCATAGAGGCGTATGTGGCAGAGTTTTGTGAACTCTCTCGCCTGTTGGACTTTATTGATGTGGCCCTTAAAGACATATTTAGGGTAGGTTTGAATGAGCCTGTCTGTTCCCAGCTGCCTGGGGGAAAAATTCATTGGTCTCTGACACAATACATTGACCATGCTTTATTGTTGAGCGGCTCCTCATTTACTGTGGGTTTTGCGGATGAGGAGCCCCGCAACCCCACAGTATCCTAGCCCAGAGCCAGTTCACGTCATGTTCTGCCGAGCCTGAGTCTCTTCACGTCATGTTCTGCCGAGCCTGAGTCTCTTCACGTCATGTTCTGCCGAGCCTGAGTCTCCTCACGTCATGTTCTGCCGAGCCTGAGTCTCTTCACATCATGTTCTGCCGAGCCTGAGTCTCCTCACGTCATGTTCTGCCGAGCCTGAGTCTCTTCACATCATGTTCTGCCAAGCCTGACTCTCCTCACGTCATGTTCTGCCGAGCCTGAGTCTCTTCACGTCATGTTCTGCCGAGCCTGAGTCTCTTCACGTCATGTTCTGCCGAGCCTGAGTCTCCTCACGTCATGTTCTGCCGAGCCTGAGTCTCTTCACATCATGTTCTGCCGAGCCTGAGTCTCCTCACGTCATGTTCTGCCGAGCCTGAGTCTCTTCACATCATGTTCTGCCAAGCCTGACTCTCCTCACGTCATGTTCTGCCGAGCCTGAGTCTCTTCACGTCATGTTCTGCCGAGCCTGAGTCTCTTCACGTCATGTTCTGCTGAGCCTGAGTCTCTTCACGTCATGTTCTGCCGAGCCTGAGTCTCTTCACGTCATGTTCTGCCGAGCCTGAGTCTCCTCACGTCATGTTCTGCCGAGCCTGAGTCTCTTCACATCATGTTCTGCCGAGCCTGAGTCTCCTCACGTCATGTTCTGCTGAGCCTGAGTCTCTTCACGTCATGTTCTGCCGAGCCTGAGTCTCTTCACATCATGTTCTGCCGAGCCTGAGTCTCCTCACGTCATGTTCTGCTGAGCCTGAGTCTCTTCACGTCATGTTCTGCCGAGCCTGAGTCTCCTCACGTCATGTTCTGCTGAGCCTGAGTCTCTTCACGTCATGTTCTGCCGAGCCTGAGTCTCCTCACGTCATGTTCTGCTGAGCCTGAGTCTCCTCACGTCATGTTCTGCCGAGCCTGAGTCTCCTCACGTCATGTTCTGCCGAGCCTGAGTCTCCTCACGTCATGTTCTGCCGAGCCTGAGTCTCCTCACGTCATGTTCTGCCGAGCCTGAGTCTCTTCACGTCATGTTCTGCCGAGCCTGAGTCTCCTCACGTCATGTTCTGCCGAGCCTGAGTCTCTTCACATCATGTTCTGCCGAGCCTGAGTCTCCTCATGTCATGTTCTGCCGAGCCTGAGTCTCCTCACGTCATGTTCTGCCGAGCCTGAGTCTCTTCACGTCATGTTCTGCCGAGCCTGAGTCTCCTCACGTCATGTTCTGCCGAGCCTGAGTCTCCTCACGTCATGTTCTGCCGAGCCTGAGTCTCTTCACGTCATGTTCTGCCGAGCCTGACTCTCCTCACGTCATGTTCTGCCGAGCCTGAGTCTCCTCACGTCATGTTCTGCCGAGCCTGAGTCTCCTCTCGTCATGTTCTGCCGAGCCTGAGTCTCCTCACGTCATGTTCTGCCGAGCCTGAGTCTCCTCACGTCATGTTCTGCCGAGCCTGAGTCTCTTCACGTCATGTTCTGCCGAGCCTGAGTCTCCTCACGTCATGTTCTGCCGAGCCTGAGTCTCCTCACGTCATGTTCTGCCGAGCCTGAGTCTCTTCACGTCATGTTCTGCCGAGCCTGAGTCTCCTCACGTCATGTTCTGCCGAGCCTGAGTCTCCTCACGTCATGTTCTGCCGAGCCTGAGTCTCTTCACGTCATGTTCTGCCGAGCCTGAGTCTCTTCACATCATGTTCTGCCGAGCCTGAGTCTCTTCACATCATGTTCTGCCGAGCCTGAGTCTCCTCACGTCATGTTCTGCCGAGCCTGAGTCTCTTCACGTCATGTTCTGCCGAGCCTGAGTCTCTTCACGTCATGTCTGCCGAGCCTGAGTCTCTTCACGTCATGTTCTGCCGAGCCTGAGTCTCTTCACATCATGTTCTGCCGAGCCTGAGTCTCTTCACGTCATGTTCTGCCGAGCCTGAGTCTCTTCACGTCATGTCTGCCGAGCCTGAGTCTCTTTACGTCATGTTCTGCCGAGCCTGAGTCTCTTCACATCATGTTCTGCCGAGCCTGAGTCTCTTCACGTCATGTCTGCCGAGCCTGAGTCTCTTCACGTCATGTCTGCCGAGCCTGAGTCTCTTCACGTCATGTTCTGCCGAGCCTGAGTCTCTTCACGTCATGTCTGCCGAGCCTGAGTCTCTTCACGTCATGTTCTGCCGAGCCTGAGTCTCTTCACGTCATGTCTGCCGAGCCTGAGTCTCCTCACGTCATGTTCTGCCGAGCCTGAGTCTCTTCACATCATGTTCTGCCGAGCCTGAGTCTCCTCACGTCATGTTCTGCCGAGCCTGAGTCTCCTCACGTCATGTTCTGCCGAGCCTGAGTCTCCTCACGTCATGTTCTGCCGAGCCTGAGTCTCTTCACGTCATGTCTGCCGAGCCTGAGTCTCCTCACGTCATGTTCTGCCGAGCCTGAGTCTCTTCACATCATGTTCTGCCGAGCCTGAGTCTCCTCACGTCATGTTCTGCCGAGCCTGAGTCTCCTCACGTCATGTTCTGCCAAGCCTGAGTCTCCTCACGTCATGTTCTGCCGAGCCTGAGTCTCCTCACGTCATGTTCTGCCGAGCCTGAGTCTCCTCACGTCATGTCTGCCGAGCCTGAGTCTCTTCACGTCATGTTCTGCCGAGCCTGAGTCTCTTCACGTCATGTTCTGCCGAGCCTGAGTCTCCTCACGTCATGTTCTGCCGAGCCTGAGTCTCCTCACATCATGTTCTGCCGAGCCTGAGTCTCCTCACATCATGTTCTGCCGAGCCTGAGTCTCTTCACGTCATGTTCTGCCGAGCCTGAGTCTCCTCACGTCATGTTCTGCCGAGCCTGAGTCTCCTCACATCATGTTCTGCCGAGCCTGAGTCTCTTCACGTCATGTTCTGCCGAGCCTGAGTCTCCTCACGTCATGTTCTGCCGAGCCTGAGTCTCCTCACATCATGTTCTGCCGAGCCTGAGTCTCCTCACGTCATGTTCTGCCGAGCCTGAGTCTCCTCACATCATGTTCTGCCGAGCCTGAGTCTCTTCACGTCATGTTCTGCCGAGCCTGAGTCTCCTCACATCATGTTCTGCCGAGCCTGAGTCTCTTCACGTCATGTTCTGCCGAGCCTGAGTCTCCTCACATCATGTTCTGCCGAGCCTGAGTCTCCTCACATCATGTTCTGCCGAGCCTGAGTCTCTTCACGTCATGTTCTGCCGAGCCTGAGTCTCCTCACATCATGTTCTGCCGAGCCTGAGTCTCTTCACGTCATGTCTGCCGAGCCTGAGTCTCCTCTCGTCATGTTCTGCCGAGCCTGAGTCTCCTCTCGTCATGTTCTGCCGAGCCTGAGTCTCCTCTCGTCATGTTCTGCCGAGCCTGAGTCTCCTCACGTCATGTTCTGCCGAGCCTGAGTCTCCTCACGGCGGATATGCCAAGCCAGGGACTGTTCACGCCATGTCTGAGCCATGAAACTGAGCCCTCAGTGACTGCAATACTAGCCATTATGGCCACAGCCTTGTGGTGTTTGTGGGCTGCGCACATATCTGAGCCACTGTAACCACTGTTGGTAAGTGTCATTTTCATGTTCATGTTTGTTTTTGAGTTCATGCCACGCCATGCTTTTGTTTTGAGTTCATGGCACGTGTAACCGTCTCCCTATACACTCCTAGTGAGACAAGCTACAAGATCATTTTGTGGGAAGGACCCACAGACCAAACTTGTTGAGAATATAATGAGTAAAAAAAACAGTTCAAAGATAAACCTCAATACATCAATAGAAATTTTACATCAGACGACCCACACAAGAGTATTTACATAAACACCACCCAGCAAACACTGAATACACAATAACATAAACCCCAAAGATTCACACTAATGCAATACTGTCATTGAAATAAGAACTGAAAACCACTATCCTTAGGGTGTAAATTGCTCATGTTCCAGTTCAAATTGCAGCCTTGAGCCTCATCGAACAAATGAAAAACAGAGGATATTCAAAGAGTCCTTTTGATTGAGCTTGAAACAATAGTTTCTTAATCTGGACTCTGAACAATATTGTGTGAACCAAGAAAGAAGAACCATTCCTTCCTTTTCCACACCATAACCTAACTTCTCCTTCATGGATATACAAGGTAGCATGACACCTAGACACCGAAACTCCAGATAAGTAGAAAGTGGAAGTAGTTGTGCAACTAGTCCATTGTTGCATAATTGAACTTGACAGTTATCCAGCTGAATTGAATTGTGTTGAATAATGACACTATTGTCTTATTATAGCTGTATTTCGAGTACACTCTAAACAATGCTGGGTTGTTTCAACCCAAATTTGGGTCAAATATGGACAAACCCAAATGTTGGGTTAAAAATGTAATTAAAAAAATTTACAGTTGAAAGTGAAAGTTGAAGTTGGGTTAAAATTTTAAATTACATTTTTAACCCAACATTTGGGTTTGTCGATATTTGACCCAAATTTGGGTTAAAACAACCCAGCATTGTTTAGAGTGTTCAATTAGATTATGTTCAATAACAGGAAGCTGCTTTGAAACGGATGTTAACATGCAGTAATCAAGCGAGAGTTTCATGTGTTCATTTCCTAGACAAAGGGTGCATGTTACATAAGCGTGAAGGTTTGTCTACTGAGTTTGTCTACTGCATTTAACCTCGTCCAAGTGCACACGCATTAGGAGCAGAGTAGTGCACACACACACACACACACACACAAGAATGATTTTATTTAGTTTTTTATTGTTTTGCTCTTTTCTAAACGATGCACAGCAAGGTAAGAAAAAAAGCTTTTTTTATTTCCATATGCAGCACTTCCTTCTGATCGACAGATACCAGTTACATAAACAATTTGAGTTTGTTTTCCGGTTTTATTGTAGATGTTGTTGTTTTTTGCATACTTCACCTATATCATTTTACATATTGTGTTGTCTTATATTGTGTTGTAATTCTACTTTGTTCAGCACTTCGGTCAGCTTTGCTGTCTTTGTTCTGTAAAAATATATTTTAGTTGTTTACGTGTTTCCATTGCTTTTTGTGTTTCATATGTTCCTCAGAGAAACACTTCCTCCACTACAAGTTTACAGTTCTGACCAAAGCAGACACATTGCCAGAGTTCAGTGCTGTGTGTGTTTATGACGACAGACGGATCGCTTACTTCAGTAATGAAGAACGAGTCTGGATAAAAGAGACTGTACACGACTGGACAAATACACCTGAGGAACCGGCTGACTCAAAAGACTTTATCATACATCAGATCAGGACTCTGTCAGACTGCACAGACTCACTGTGTTCTGGTGAGATTCATGCTTTACTCTTATTAATGATCAGACATTATATTTACTGTGAGTTTCTCATGAGTGTTGATCTGTGATTGTAGATCATGTTCTTCAGAGAATGATTGGCTGTGAACTGGAGAAACTTCCTGATGGATCAGTGAATCCGACTGTCTTTGATGATTATGGATTTGATGGAGAAGATCTTATATCCTTTAATTATGACACTATGCAGTGGATTGATAAAAACCCCAAAGCCAAAGAAACAAAAAAGATATGGGATCGTCTCACAGAACGAAACCAGTTCCTCAAACATTACCTGAAGACCTGCACTGACTGGATCTCAACGTTTCACAACACAAAACAGAGTAAGATCTATCAATGTTGTTGTTTTTTCAAACATGCAGTTTGCAAGGTTTTCTCCACACGTTTAGATGTAATAGTGTCTTCATGTTTATTAGTGCAGAACCAGTGTGGCGTGTAACTGAGTTCAGTTATAGATATGTCTCTCAAATGGATGTTCATCTGGATTGCATGAGTTTGATTTTCACATTAGATTCCTCTCAGCTTACTAAAGTATTAGATCCACCAACTAGTTAGCAGATATTATTAAAGAAAAAATTGAAAAGACTCATTCTCATTATGTCTTTCAAAACCCATATGACTTGCTGTCTTCTTTGGAACAAAACCCTAATTTTTTAACAGTACAGAAACAGGAGAGAGAAAACTAAATACTTTGTAAATGTTTGTTTGTTAATTGCATGTTTATTTTCTGCTCCAGTTCCACCAGAAGTTCACGCTTTTGTGCCGAAACTTTCTGATGATGACAGTAAACTGGTTCTGGTCTGTCTGGCCACTGGTTTCTACCCCAGAGATGTTCAGATGTACATTAGAAGGAACAAATACATTGTTGAGGATCAAACATCTTCTGGAATCAGACCAAATACTGATGAAACCTTTCAGAAGAGAATCATTGTGAAGATCGACAGAAACCATGAAGGATCTTATGACTGTCAGGTCACTCACAGCAGTCTGACTCAATCACGACCAGTTTTAACAGTGTGGAGTAAATATCAACATACATTTTGTTGTGATTATGATTTAAATATCCATTATGCACTAATTCAGCTTCTACAGTTAGCCTATAACATGAAGATTGAATACTAATCACTATCTGTGTAAAGAGGAGAAGTGTTGATGTGTTTAATGTAATTAAAGGGGCCATGAAATGTATTTTCAGATGTTCATATTGAGTTTATGAAGTTAGCAATAGCATGCATTAAAAAGTTCAAATATTTGAACATTATTTCCATCTTCAATTTCACTCTCTTTAACACGTCAATACAAGATTTGTAGCAAAAAACACCAGCATGTTTAGAGTAATTAAGAAAAATTATTTCAACCTTGCATTTAGTGTGATCTTTTGTTTCAGAAGGACAGAAAACTGGGCAATTAGCTTTGAGATATAAAACATGCGGTATGTTTTTATTGTAGAGTAACGTCTTCTGTGTGTAAATATCAGGACATTTTGATTTTCCATCTCATGAGCCCTTTAAATAATGTAGTGTAATTGCCTAAAACAATTAAGTTTAAACTCCTCAACAGTTTAAAAGCATTTATGCAGCATTATTTCTTTTTTTCTTCATTCTGCAGATGGAAAATATTGTGACAGTGAAACTGAATGTCGGTGTCTTCTTGTTACACTGGGAATTGGAGCAGTTCTAGCTCTCATTGTGATTGGTTACTGCATCTAAAAAAAGGTGAGTTATTCAACATGATCATTGCTTTAAATCTCTTGTTTTATTAAATATTCTTTTAAAAAGATATTTTAAAAAATGAATTAACAGTTTGACAGTATATGAGGTAGAAATATGTGACTCCAAACAGTGACCACATGAGGTTTTGCACATGTGAAATTCATGTGTTTTTGTTGATGATTTTCAATTACGGTATTTGGATTTTATTCTATTTTATTTTATTTATGGAAAAAGGCAAGATCACCTAATGAATGAAAAGTGTGACGTCAGTGCAGCTTGACATAAATATATTTACAAGAACATGATATCTGTATATGCAAGATACGTTTTATCCTATTTATTTTTCACGTAAGAACGGCGCAGTCATTTGTAACTTGAATGTGCGAGGCTTCTGGTGTCATTCGCTTCCAGTTATTAAAGCCAAACAAAAACAGTCTATTATGCTGCTTAAAATTGTAAATTTGTAATTATCATTTCATTACAATAATCATAATAACATAAATAGCACTTTGTTATTCTTCCCGTTATTCACCTATAGGTGCTAATGAATCAAAGTCTCGCACATTCACATAAAATAGTTTACATCCACATTGTGAAATAAGACTTTTGTCACTTTTGTAGGTCTGATGACAAGCTGGCCCTGTTACGGCGCAGTGACTGGAGAGTAAAGACTGTAATAGAGGAGAATATTATTATGATGTTACATATTATTATCTCTACACACAGGTATCTCCACATCACATTCATTTTCTTTCTTTGTGCAAAGAGAGTGGGACAAATAAAATCAAAATCCAGTCCAAACTGCAGGTACAGACACCAGTCAGAGGACCAGCAGTGATGGACTGATGTGAACTTATGGGCACTCATGAGAAATTACTCATTTTCTTACATTCTGGCTCCGTTCTGGAAAAAAAAGTTGTTTGTTCTTGATTTTGTTCCTTTAGCTGTTTCTAATCTGCATCACTGTACTTTAATAAGAATGCTTAAAGGAGTACTATTATTATGCTTTTTTCACTTTTCCGACTTTAGTTAGTGTGTAATTTTGCTGTTTGAGCTTAAAAAAGATCTGTAAGGTTACAAAGCTCAAAGTCCATTTCAAAGGGAGATATTTTATTTAACAGAATACACTTTCCAAAAACTACAACAACAAAAATAGGCTCGTTGGGACTACAACGGAGTCGGCAAAAAAATCGGATATGGTAAAAAAAAGGGCTGACGAACTTGGTCAAAATTTATTTTTAAAGTCGGCATGAAACGGAAGTTGAGATTGTCATTTTTTCCTTGTTGTGACCATAGACAGTATGGTTGTGACGTATATCCGAGTGAAACAGCTTCTGAAATTAGAAAAAAAATGTAGGGCGGGGCTTGATTTCGTCCTTCGGGAATTGATTGGATCGTTGGAGTTTGGGCGTTGCAAACAAAATGGAGGCAGATTTGAATGCCAGTTTACATTCAGTTGTGGAGGATTTCTCTCCACCTGAGAGGAGGTGCACCCTCATCGGCTCTGACCGCACCCTTTCACCATGACACGTGACCGTAAGAGAAGAGAGGTCGTTTCGAGGGGGGAGCGAAGGGTAATGTATTTGATTAAAGATTATAAGGGTACATGAATTTAAAAAAAATAATGAAGTGCACAGATAAATCATTTATAAACACTACAATATTACATATAAAAAGAAGATTTGTCAAATTTGATTTCATGCCGACTTTAAACACTCTTCCTGAACATTTAAACCAAAACGTTTATCTGTGTGCAGGATATTTTATTAAAAAAAACATGTTTTTTGTTGCTTTTCCACCAAACAGGGCTGGGAAAATTACGGTTTCTAAAACTTCTGTTATTGGTTGGACAACTAGCCCTGCCCCCGAACATATACAAGTGTTTGAGTCAGAAAGTAACTCAAATAGATGTCACACACACACACACTCTCACACACACTCTTCAGGAAGTCAAACTACACACACACAAACACACTTCTAATAGCAATTTAAGAAACAAGAAAGTATTTAACACCAAAATTACATTAATCACCTTTGACCTACCCTGTCACTTAGGTTTAGTGACTTTTATTTTGTAACTATTGACTATTTTTGCAAATGGGTGAGATAGAGGGAATTATTATTCTGACATGTTATACTTTACTGGGGGATAGTCAGTCAATCCTGTTCCTCACACATTATACTTGTGTCTAATTCGTACGAATTCGTACGACCTCACTCGTACGAATTTGTACGATTTGCCTAAACCCACATGATGGGTAGGTTTAGGGGCGGGGTCAGGGGTAGGTCATTCGTACGAATTCATACGAATTGGGCAACTCGTCAAATATGTACGATTTAGCAAAAATCGTACTAATTCGTAGGAGTGAGGTCGTACGAATTGTTAGGAATTAGCCATCTTTTAATCACTCGTCAAATTCGGACGAACTGGTCGTGAGATCGGGTTGGTTTACCACTAGATGCCTGTATAGCTCTAAATGGAGATGCTTGTGAATTCTAGTTGTTTTTGGACCAAATTACTTACTTTTAAGATGTGGATTGAATGTATTTTTTTTAGAAATTCTCAAATAATACTTTTTGCCAAGGTTTATAACATCATATTAATTATTATTTTAATAATTTTAATAATTATTATATTAATTATATATATATATTAATTATAATTATTAATTATGTTATGTTTTTCACTCTTGATGTTTTAGAGTTTCACCCCTTCATTGCTGAGCACTTTTTTTCTGCATCGTGGCTGATTTGTAAATACTTTTTGTGTTTTTGTCAATTTCCCATTCATGGGGGTCATTTTTGACCGAAGACCAAAATCGTTACTATTTTTTTTACGACCACTTAGCATGCTCGGATCATGACCTCAATTTTTTTTTGTATTTACCTAATGCCATAAAAGTCACCAAGTTTCATAACATTCTGATGAAGCTGATTTCTAGAAATTCAAAACAGAAAATTATTCGGTCAGAAATCGGTCAGACCGAGGACCGTCTGAGGGTTAAGTGAGGTACACAACATATATCGCTATATAGGCTATAGTCCACACATCGAATTCAAAACACAGTTCGTAATTTATTTTATATTGTAATGCTCGGTATTTTCTGCTGTTACTGAAGGTGCAAAACTATTTGTAAATATTATATTATTTTCTGCACAAGGGTCAGAGAAAATATTTGTACATTTAAGATATATTTTTTTATAAATAAAAAGAATCTTCAAGTGTTTCAAGCAAGTTCATGGTTAAAGTCTACAGGTTGAATTTATGTAATGATATACGTTATAAATGTTGTCCGTTTATTTCTCTGTGTGTTTTAAGGATTCATTGTATGTTTTAATCTGTAATGTTGCATTAATACCTGTGTGTCCCTATAGAGTTGCTGTAGTTCATCTAATCATGATAACAGTGTTGGCAATGCCATAGTTTGATTCCCAGAGAAAACATGATCAAATGTAGATTCAGCTTGAATACTCTGTAAGTCTCTTTGATAAAAGTGTCTGACAAATGCATAAATGTGCCTCTTTGGACTATGTGTTGTGTTCAATGTGCAATAAAATAAATACATGTCTTGATTTGAACTATCTCTTTGGTGAGTGTGTGTATGCGCTGGACATGTGTAGCATGCATGGTAAGATCTTCACCGATATCAAACATTTCTTCAGTTCATGAAAGCAGCGAAAACATCTATTTAAAAAACCGAATGTAGCCTAACATATGATCTTAAAGTGTGTGAGTTCACTAAACCACTCCAAACGTGCTGAATCTTCATCAGATGATGATGATGATGGTATACTGTTTGACTCGGTGTGTTTGAGCAGGTAAACACGAGCTGACTGAGAAAACGAAAGTGTTTAAAAGCTTGTCCTTCGGCACAGTGATTGGCACTAGAGACGCTGATCTTTAAAGGACACATATCGAGTCTAAACTGGTATAATGGTTCACACGGCTAAAAACATTTTCTTTATAGAGGTGGTTTGGCTTATATTTCACCCTTTTCTAAGCGATGCGCATCAAGATGAGCACAACGGTAAGAACACGTTTACTTCTGATGCGCAGATTATTAACAAATAGCCCATATTAAACCTTTGAATTTATTATTAGGCTATATTGTATTATATTATTTATTATTATTAATTATTCACGTAAGCCGGATATCAACACGGGTTCGTTTAATCTGACGATAATCAGACCGCAGTGCATCATGGGTACAGAAGACGCACTTCATCTGAAACCAGTTAACGGTAATGCATTAGCTGACCACTTTTGTGGTCGGATCACCGAATAGCATCTTAATGCAGATGGAAACAGCTTCTCTTCCACTCGCTGAAGTCCGGGAGAGGTGGGATGTGTAGTGCCTTGCAGTGATGGGACTGTTGAGACCGGGACTCCGACGCAGTTTCCAAAGCACT